AAGCATTTCTGGTAATAGGAATGGAAAGGTGTGTGGGGGGGGGGGGGGGGGGAGGTTGCATCATTTGTAGATGGGAATTTTACATTCTGATCTCTTTCTTTCTCTTCCTTTTTTTTTTCCTTTTTTTCTTTTTGTTTTATGTGTTTCTTTTGTGTTTTGTGTAGTTCTTCCTTTTCTTTTTTCGTCTGGCTGTCTGTCTGACTCTCTCTATATCTATCCATCTCTCTCTATCTATCTCTATCTCTATCTCCATCTCTATCTCTCTTCCCACACTCTTTCCCAAACCGTCTACCCTCCCCCCCTCCCTCTTCCATTCCCCACTCCCCTCTTTTGCGCCCTCACTTCTATTCCTCATCCTCGACTCTCTCTCCCTCTCTCTCTCTCTCCCTCTCTCTCTCTCTCCCTCTCTCTCTCTCTCTTCCAACATCGCCTCAATACTCCCGTCTTTCCCCTCCCTCCCTCCCCTCCCTCCCTCTTTCCCCTCCATGTTCTCGAAGCCCTTCTAACATAATGGTGCTTAATATGACAAACTCTCTCTCTTCGCTTCCCCTCTTTTCGGTGACTTAGATCGTGAGTGAGAGGGGAAAGGGAGAGTTGTGATGCAAGGGATTCTTCTCTCGTTTTCCCCTTTTTCTCTCTATTCTGTTTTTATTTTCTTTCTTTCTTTTTTTCTCTCTCTCTTTCGATGTGATTTCTGTTATGGTTTTGATCTTGTGTTTGTTAGTCTGTTTGTTTTCTGTTTGTTTGTTACAAACATTTGTTTGATATCTTCTTCTTCTTCTTCTTTTCTCTCTCTCTCTCTCTCTCTCTCTCTCTCTCTCTCTCTCTCTCTCTCTCTCTCTCTCTCTCTCTCTCTCTCTCTCTGTCTCTCTCTCTCTCTCTCTCTCTTTCTATCTATCTACCTGTTTGTCTCTGTCTCTGTATCTCTCTCTCATAGTGAAATACACACACACGCATACACTCACGTACACACACACACACACACACACACACACACACACACACACACACACACACACACACACACACACACACACACACACACACACACACAGAGCTGTAATTCGTATACCGAGCACAGTTATTTTCAAAGCCACAAATGAACACACGAACATAAATAAGTGTAATAATAGATAAGAATAAGCAGAAAAATAATGAAAGAATGAAAAAGGAAGAGGTAATAGCGAATTAAAGATAAAAACACGAAGAAAAGGACTTGTGTATTTTATGTTTGATAAAATGTGAATCTTGCAGAAAATAGTTCACAGGAATATCTATTATTGATGGACACGTGATGTATATTATTATTTTTTTTTAATTTATTTACTGATATAAATCCCAACTTTTTTTTTTTAAGAATAATAGGAAGAAGGAGAAAGAGAAACACACAAGGTTTTTATTTTTTTAATTAAACGAAAAAGAAAAAGAATGATACCATCAATACCCCCCTCCCCTCCCCCTCCCCCCCACACACACAAAAAGATAATAATAAATCTTAAAAATAGATAAAAATCCGACCTTCAATTTTCTTCACACTTTCAACACCCCAACCCTCCCCCACCTCCTCCCCCTCCTCCTCCCCATTCCCTCCTCCCCTCCTCGTCCTCCTCATCCTCAAAATAAACAAATAAAATGAATAAACGGATAAATAAAAATAGTAATGAAAAATAAGAAAATATAATAGTGCCAACACATGAAAGAATAAGTATCTTGAAGGTCCCACGAAGTTAATAAATGACAAATGCAAAAGATTCGATGACAAAGGAAAAGAAGATAAGTTTTTAGAAAGTAAGAGAAAATATGAAGGGAGAGAGAGGGGATGGGAAGTAAACAGAAGGAAAGAAATAGAGAGAGAGAGGGAGAGAGCAAGACGGAGAAAGGAACGGAGATATTAGGAGAGAAAATAGAAAAAGGGATAGAGTAAGAGAGAGAGGAAGAATGGAGAGACAAGTGAGAAAGTAAGAAAGAGAAAAAGTAACGGAGAGACAGTGAGTGATAAGGAAAGAGAAACGAAGAAACACTGATAAAGAGAGAGACACAAAGAGACGTGAAGGTTGTAAAGAACTTACAGTAAATAACATACAAAAAGAGAGAAAGGAAAAGAAGAAAAAGCATGAATGAAGAGGGGGGAAAAAGAGAGAGAAATAAGAAGGGAGAATCCTCACACATTGCAATAAATGACATAGAAGAAGAAGACAGAAAAAATATGTAAATCTGTACATTTAAGTCCTGTATAACCGTACACCCATTACAAAATTGGCTTTGCGAGATCGGATTAACGGAATTGGTAATGTGGGAGTGAATTTCTCTCCCTCCTCATCTCCTCTCCCCCTTCTTCTCTTT